ACCAATCAAAGATTTCAGCTTCTATCGTTACGTATCGTGCCGTACCTGGCGGAGGGGGCCTCATCTGATGCGGCGCACTTCAGTTTACGCGTAAATGCGGTGCAATTAAGCGCACCACAGTTTCGCCGCTGCAATGCTCCGGCGCTCCCAGTCCCCCCCCCCCCCGCCTCGACGCTTGCGACACAGAGGGCCTCATCACATAACTTTGCGTGGGGCCACAAGTTGGCCAGGGGCAGCCCTGCCGCAGCATATGTAAACATGGTGTCATGTAACCTGACAAATAGTAACGTCACCTAATAATCATAAATCTGTGAAAAACATAACGTAAGTTGTTAGTGGTTCTTGAACCCCGAGAGCAGGAGAGACTGAAAAGAGTCAAGGCAAGCTTATAAAAGTTAACAGCATTTAATTACACAAAAGATGCGGTGATATGAACAAATGAAATGTGCACGTTGGTGGTTCCCCCCTGCCAGCTGTTTGGTCCCGGTCTGCGCTGGGTCAGCTGGGGCCAGGAGAGAGAGAGCTAGATCCTTCTTGTCTCTCCCGGGTAACAACTGTAGTCTTCTCCTATTGGCCGGCGTCGACGGGGGCGTGTCCAATGCAAATCCTGTCGGTTTCTGCTGCTAAATTACATTACTCAGATGTCTGTGGTCATCTAAACATTCCCTAATAAACCTCATTCCTGCGTCAATAAATGAGTGTTAAACCCAGGGTGTTTAGTGTACAACATCACGTTATTTCACCTTCAATTCACGGTTTGAAAACGTAGCATTTCGCCACATGCTAATGCTAACCGGAAATGACGAAATTCACCAGCGGAAAACCGGAAGTCACTTGTGAATCTTCGGTTTTCAGAATAAAACAGATTTAAATTAAATACAGTGTATTTCATTCAAATTACGCCACATCAACATTGATTTTAATTTCTAACAAAGTTGACGTGACGTAACTTGCTGACCAAACCGCAAAACCATGACCAACATTATTAGATCACTGTTGTGCAACAACACTGATTATGTGCAAATATATTATTTTTTAACAATCTATCAATGCTACTACTGGCTGTTCATCAATCCGTTTAATGTTGTCTTTTAACCTGCACTATATCTTTGTTGTAACGAGGTACATTTCCCCACAGTGTGACGAATAAAGGATTTCTTAATATTGATATTCGGCGGATAATCTTCTCTTTGTCTCAGGACCCTAAAGCTGCCCCTGTTCTCTGTAAAGCTGTTGTGAGAGTGTGTGTTGTGTTACCTGTTTGTGTCACAGGTGTATCTTCAGGTGTGTGTGTCTCTGCAGAATCCACACACCAGCTGATGTACCTGTGTGTGTGTTCAGACGGAGAAATACCCACACAGGAGGAGGAGAGGCACTGTTTCTCAATGACTTTGGTGGAAACATCCTGCTGCAACTCTTCCTGTGACGAGAACACAGGAAACAGTTTAAGGATTAAAAAAACACATCCTTTACTCAAGTAGAAGTACAGATACTCGTGTTTAAAAATACTCTGGTGAAAGTAGAAGTACTGACTAAACTTCTTTACTCAAGTCAAAGTAAAGAGGCTTTGAAATGTACTTCAGTAAAAAGTACCCATAACTAGCAGCTGTTTTAAAGAGTACCTGACCTCCCTTTATATTAATAGAACAATAATGTCATTGTTAGCTAATGAATGTTTCCATGCTGAACAACGGCAACATGACAACGTTTTCATTGGTCCCTCTTCTTTAGAGAAGACCAGGAAATGATGGATACACGGATCGTGTTCAAATCAATAGGCACGCAATGACTCTAAATAATAATGATCACGCCACCAAACACACATTCAAACTAAAGGAACCAGCCTGTTTGGGAAATGTGAGAAGTAGAAAGTACAGGTATTTGTGTTCAACATGTAAGAAGTAGAAAGTACAGGTATTTGTGTTCAACATGTAAGAAGTAGAAAGTACAGGTATTTGGGTTCAACATGTGAGAAGTAGAAAGTACAGGTATTTGAGTTCAACATGTAAGAAGTAGAAAGTACAGGTATTTGTGTTCAACATGTGAGAAGTAGAAAGTACAGGTATTTGTGTTCAAAATGTAAGAAGTAGAAAGTACAGGTATTTGAGTTCAAAATGTAAGAAGTAGAAAGTACAGGTATTTGTGTTCAACATGTAAGAAGTAGAAAGTACAGGTATTTGTGTTCAACATGTAAGAAGTAGAAAGTACAGGTATTTGAGTTCAACATGTAAGAAGTAGAAAGTACAGGTATTTGTGTTCAAAATGTAAGAAGTAGAAAGTACAGGTATTTGTGTTCAACATGTAAGAAGTAGAAAGTACAGGTATTTGAGTTCAAAATGTAAGAAGTAGAAAGTACAGGTATTTGTGTTCAACATGTAAGAAGTAGAAAGTACAGGTATTTGTGTTCAACATGTAAGAAGTAGAAAGTACAGGTATTTGTGTTCAACATGTAAGAAGTAGAAAGTACAGGTATTTGTGTTCAACATGTAAGAAGTAGAAAGTACAGGTATTTGTGTTCAACATGTAAGAAGTAGAAAGTACAGGTATTTGTGTTCAACATGTAAGAAGTAGAAAGTACAGGTATTTGTGTTCAACATGTAAGAAGTAGAAAGTACAGGTATTTGTGTTCAAAATGTAAGAAGTAGAAAGTACAGGTATTTGGGTTCAAAATGTAAGAAGTAGAAAGTACAGGTATTTGTGTTCAACATGTAAGAAGTAGAAAGTACAGGTATTTGTGTTCAACATGTAAGAAGTAGAAAGTACAGGTATTTGTGTTCAACATGTAAGAAGTAGAAAGTACAGGTATTTGTGTTCAACATGTAAGAAGTAGAAAGTACAGGTATTTGGGTTCAAAATGTAAGAAGTAGAAAGTACAGGTATTTGTGTTCAACATGTAAGAAGTAGAAAGTACAGGTATTTGTGTTCAACATGTAAGAAGTAGAAAGTACAGGTATTTGTGTTCAACATGTAAGAAGTAGAAAGTACAGGTATTTGTGTTCAACATGTAAGAAGTAGAAAGTACAGGTATTTGAGTTCAACATGTAAGAAGTAGAAAGTACAGGTATTTGTGTTCAACATGTAAGAAGTAGAAAGTACAGGTATTTGTGTTCAACATGTAAGAAGTAGAAAGTACAGGTATTTGGGTTCAACATGTAAGAAGTAAAAGTAAAAAGTCGTCAGATACCAGAACAATGTACTTAAGTACAGTAACAAAGTATTTGTACTCCAATACTTCCCACCTCTGACAGTTACCCAAACCTGGATTGATTAATTTCCTGAAATGTTGCTGCACTACATTTAGATTTAGTTTTGTTTGTTTTGTACAAAGAAAGGATTTGTTTCAAACAACGAATCAAATATCACGGATGCTGATGACGATGACCTGAACTTTTATTTTCATGAACAATGTATGCTAGAGGGGGATTGGACCAGAAACGTTTTAAAGCTTCTTCTTCTCGCCCCTTTTTAACATGAGGGAAGCTATTTGAACGCTTATTTTTATTTTGCTTCTCTTTTTTTATTATTATTATTATTATTATTATTTATATATATCATTATAATTATTATTATTGTCTGTTTTGTTTCTAACATGTTCAATAAATTGACTAATACATAAAAATAGATGTTAAAATGTTAAAAAAGTTCTCATGATCTTTTTTGGCCAATAATATAAAGAGAGGGGCCCATTAATGCAGAAAGAAGGAGATTTAAAGGGGACCTATCATGCAAAATGCACTTGTGTACGTCTTTTATACATGAATATGTGTCCCCGGTGTTCCAGGGAACTCACCAAGTGTCAGAAAACACAACCCTCTCTATTTTCCTCCATACCCAAATCTCTAAAAAAGGGGCTGCAACGGATCTGATAAAAACTGATCCAGATTTGAACACTGTCCTGACGTCAGGACGGTGGCGCTACGGCTATTGGGCCAACTCCACCAATCAGGAGGAGACAGCCACGGCCATTGCCGTTCGAAAGCGCTGGAGACGCTGTAGTACATATGCCAGGCCTGTAGATGGTGCTGTTCTCACTGAATCTGCCCAGAGCTAAAACAGAGCTAACATTTTTCAAATTGAGGAAAATGAGGCATGGCTAAAATGCATGATCTGTTTGGTATTTTGAAAAAAAAAAAGTATAAATATGCCTTATATAGGTATGGTCCTACACTATATTATTAAAATATAGCATGATAGGTCCACTTTAAGTAAATAAAACACATAAAATACCTTTATTAGTGTTTGATTTAGTTACAGAGTTTGTGTCATTGATTATATTTTAAAAGTTAAGTTACTTTGGCCCAAGATACAGAACATTACAAGACGTTTGGGGTAATAAATACATTATTTATGCAGCCAAACGTTGTCTTTGTCTTATTTCTTAATATTTGTTGAGATTTGTTTTAGTCACAACATTTGTTTCAGGAACTTAGTTTCAACGTATTAAATGTTCGATTCACGATACATTAAATGGGGCGAAGCCTGCAAGCTAGTTCAGGCAGTCAACTCGAGCACCAATCATACATTAACACGTGACGCACCTCGTCCCTCTTACAACCAACCAAACACATTCTCCTAAACATGCCGCTCTATTGAAGCTGCCAGGTCTTCCTGCCTCTGCCTCGCTATGCTGCTGCTGCTGCTGCTGTGTTCACTTGCTATTGCTGCATTCATGTTCCTGCTGCTGTGTTTCATGTTGCTGCGACTTGCCTGCCCCACCACCACCCCAGCTTCCACCCCAGCTTCCACCCAGCTTCCACCCCGGCTTCCACCCCAGCTTCCACCCCAGCTTCCACCCCAGCTTCCACCCCAGCTTCCACCCCAGCTTCCACCCCAGCTTCACCCCAGCTTCCACCCCAGCTTCCACCCCAGCTTCACCCCAGCTTCCACCCCAGCTTCCACCCCAGCTTCCACCCCAGCTTCCACCCCAGCTTCCACCCCAGCTCCCACCTGTAGGCTCGGGGGATAGTTATCTAATCATCACTCAATGTTCTTTGTAAATCTGTGGAGTGATGAGGCCCGAGCCTATAGACGCCAAACTCAAACTATATGCTGCTTCTAATAAACATATTTAGAACACGTGAGTTGTCTGACTGAAATAACTTAAAAATAAACATCCCTGAGTGACTATTTTACATTAATTGCATTATCATAAATGTACAACAACAACAACAGAGACCAATCAATGAAGAGATAAACGCGTCAGCTGTGGCTCAGACTTTTAGTCACTTATCAATAAAAGCAGAAACGCTGACTCAGCAATTAATCAGCCTCTGACCGCCTTGCTTTGTTTTTTAACGAGTCATTGTTCTCCCATTGATCCTTAATTAATCCTTTCATTAATCATTAGAGATCCAGCTCTTAATATCCTCCCGATTAAAAAAAAAGAAAAGTAAATGGTCCCTAAAATGACGTCGTATTGGACTCAAAGAAAAGGTCTCAGCTTTGTTATTAAATAAAGGAAAGATGAAATATAAATATTTAATTGCTCGTTAAGAAATCAGGAAAAAGCAGACGTAACGGTAAATAAACGCTGTCATATTTAAAATTCAAAATAAAAATGGAAGAGTTTAACGTCTGAAAACAGTGTTGTTTTTTTGTGATTTAGGTTCAAACCCCACTGCAGTCAGCATGTCGTTGTGTCCCTGAGACACTTCACCCCAAAGTGCTCCTGTGGGGATTGCCCACAGTATTGAGTATGTAAGTCGCTTTGGATAAAAGCGTCTAACAAGTAACATGTGATGTAAAAATATCTGTGCTTTGGGACCAATGCACGATTTCTGATTCTAATGTGACATATCGTAACGTACATTGACAATCCGTAGCGTAAGACAACATGGCGTCATGTAACGTGACAAAACAAATAGTAACGCCACATAATAGTTACTTTTTAATCCTTGTATAAAAAAATGCTTTAATATCTGAAACTCTAAATAAAAATAGAAAAGTGTGAGAAGGGCTTTTTGTCTTGAATAACATATGTAAAGAAATATATAATCATATAGAAAATACATACAATTAGTGCTTTTAAATAAAAACAATCACAGAGAAAGCCACTTGCTCACAAAGTAAAAGTAGAAGTACTCAGATCTTGTACTTGAGTAAAAGTAGAAGTACCAGAGTGTAGGAATACTCTGTTACAGTAAAAGTAGAAGTACTCAGATCTTGAGTAAAAGTAGAAGTACTCAGATATTGTACTTGAGTACAAGTAGAAGTACTCAGGTCTTGTACTTGAGTAAAAGTAGAAGTACCAGAGTGTAGGAATACTCTGTTACAGTAAAAGTAGAAGTACTCAGATCTTGTACTTGAGTAAAAGTAGAAGTACTCAGATCTTGTACTCTAGTAAAAGTAGAAGTACTCAGATCTTGTACTTGAGTAAAAGTAGAAGTACTCAGATCTTGTACTTGAGTCAAAGTAGAAGTACTCAGATATTGTACTCTAGTAAAAGTAGAAGTACTCAGATCTTGTACTTGAGTAAAAGTAGAAGTACCAGAGTGTAGGAATACTCTGTTACAGTAAAAGTAGAAGTACTCAGATCTTGTACTTGAGTAAAAGTAGAAGTACTCAGATCTTGTACTTGAGTAAAAGTAGAAGTACTCAGATCTTGTACTCTAGTAAAAGTAGAAGTACTCAGATCTTGTACTTGAGTCAAAGTAGAAGTACTCAGATATTGTACTCTAGTAAAAGTAGAAGTACTCAGATCTTGTACTTGAGTAAAAGTAGAAGTACTCAGATCTTGTTCTTGAGTAAAAGTAGAAGTACTCAGATCTTGTACTTGAGTAAAAGTAGAAGTACTCAGATCTTGTACTCTAGTAAAAGTAGAAGTACTCAGATCTTGTACTTGAGTAAAAGTAGAAGTACTCAGATCTTGTACTCTAGTAAAAGTAGAAGTACTCAGGTCTTGTACTTGAGTAAAAGTAGAAGTACTCAGATCTTGTACTGTAGTAAAAGTAGAAGTACTCAGATCTTGTACTTGAGTCAAAGTAGAAGTACTCAGATATTGTACTCTAGTAAAAGTAGAAGTACTCAGATCTTGTACTTGAGTCAAAGTAGAAGTACTCAGATCTTGTACTCTAGTAAAAGTATAAAAGTATTCTCATCAAAATATAGTGAAAGTAGAAAAGTATTCTCATCAAAATATAGTTAAAGTAGAGACAGTAAAAGTAGTCATTGTGCAGATTGGTCCATTTCAGAATAATATATATGATATGTTTTATAATGATTGATCATGAAAGTGTTCTCAAAGCTGGTAAAGGTGCAGCTAGTTTGAATGAGAACTGTGTTGTTGTTTACACAAACAGAGTAAACACAAATAGAGTCATGCCAGAATACAGGAATATAAAAACAGGACTTAAATAAAACACTCTCATTTTCTGAAATGAAGTTAAAAGAATGAGTTTTCTGATATTTACCCCCAAAAAAGGGTTTAAAAAGAGTAAATGTTGGTTATATTTATATGTTCATTTTAGGGTGTAATCCTTCCTTTAAGAGGCAGATTATTGAAACGCTTCCTGTGTGACTGCTGACTCTGATTGTGAGCGATAAAGCATGTTTCTTTATGAGGAGCAAAGCACATCACATTAGAAACACTGACTAAAGTGTAAAGAAGAATAAAGTCAAGTTAAAAAGCACAGAATAATTGATCTTCTCACCATGCTGTGAAGTCCAGACTGCAGCTGTCAGAGAGGAGAGAGATGAGAAATGACAGTTAATGAGAAAGAAAGAGCGTGAAGGAGGAGGCGTGTTATCTCACTTCCTCTATTTAACCGTGGTTTCTGAGAGGAACACACACTCTGATGAGAGTCAGCGCTGCAAAGTGACTCAGGATCAGTGTTTAATAGAGTTTAGACATTCTGTACGTGCCTGTTTACTTACAGTATGTACACATTTATCAGAATAAGAAACAGCTGTATTACCATAGGTTTAGATATATGTACCTTTGTGTACATGATGCAGACATAAAGAAGATAACAAGTAAGAAAAACAACCAAAAAATAAATAAAACTATCATTACTTTAAAGGTGTCCTATCGTGCTATTTTGAGGCAAATATTATGGGTCTAAAAATATATAAAAACATGTCTATGATGTGTTTTGCTCCAAATACAAACAGATCATGCATTTTAGAAATCCCTCATATCCCTCTTTTGCAGCCCTGTTAGAGAAACGCTGAAGCTAATGCCTGCTCAGAATTCTACCGGAGATTAAGTTAAATTCAGCTGTGATAAAACGCGATCCTGTTCTAAACCACATCAAGGATTATTTCTGAAACAGTATGGAGCTCAAATGCTTTTTCTCTTGCGGGTTTATCACAAGGTGAGTTCCTGCTTTTTAAACACATGTGCTCTCCAGTACAGGTTAGCTCTGAGTGTTAGCGAGGCTTGCTAATGTAAACAACGACGAGATTACGTCCAAAACACGTCAGGCATTGTTTCTGATAGCAACTCTCTGTGGGTCCACCATCCGATATTACGTCATATCGGCAGCAAATCTGTATCCGCTCGTTGTACCCCCGTTTTTAAAAGATGTGGGTACGGAGGAAAAGAGAAAGGGTTTTATTTTCTGACGCTGCGTGAGTTCCCCGACGCACCGGGGACACATGTTTATGTATAAAAGAAATTCAAAAGTGCATTTTGCATGGTAGGTCCCCTTTAAGTTAAGATATAGAAAATAATTTAAATGAAATCTGGATTCACCAAAACACTACGTATACTACTGCAAAGTACTTTGGAACAGAAAAATAAGAAATTATATATAATATAAAATACAATATGTGATGGAAGTGGATAGCTTGTGAACAAATGTGCAAAGGATTTGGAGGGTTGTATAAAAACACAAAAATATACATACATATACATACAGGAATATATAAATATATATATAAACATAAGGAATTGACATTGGTTTGTAAAGGTGCATAAATAAACACAATAAGAGGAATTATGTCTTCATTTTTACACTCATATTGGTACCACTTTACAATAAGACTACCCTTATAAAGGGTTTACGAATAGTTCGTAATTCATTTATTAATTAGGTTGTGAACACTTGATAAATCATGAATACGCTTTTATAAGACATGAGATAAACAGGGCAACTGTGACCGGTTGCTTGCCAAATAGTGAGCCCACATTTATCTGTACTGCTAAGCCTTATATTGGCTACTTAGCTTACTTCATCTTCTTCATCAGCCAGCATCCTTGGTGTCTGTTGTTGACTGAGTTGATTCTCGCTAAGTAGCCAATATAAGGCTTAGTCATCTTGCCAAATAGTGAGCCCACATGTATCTGAACTGCTAAGCCTTATTAGAAATGGTAGTAACTCATTAATAAATGGTGATGTGTTTTACACTTTACAATAAGGCTCCCTTTTGGCAACTATAAATGTTAGTAACTCGTAAATAAATGGTCATAAGAGATGCCAAGAAACATCAAGATGGATGGGGGGGAATCAACTCAGTGAGCAACAGATACCAAGGATGCTGGCTGATGAAGAAGACAAAGTAAGCTAAGTAGCCAATATAAGACTTAGCAGTACAGATACATGTGGGCTCACTATTTGGCAAGATGACTAAGCCTTATATTGGCTACTCGCTAAGTAGCCAATATAAGGCTTAGTCATCTTGCCAAATAGTGAGCCTGTGTTGATGTATGAAAACTATGTTAGAACTGGTTTATAAATGGTTCTTAATGATTAATAAAGTGTTTACAACCTAATTAATAACCTAATTATAAACCCTTATTGTAAAGTGGTACCCTCATATTTATAGCTAATGTTTACATAATACATGATATGCTACTATCTATAATACTGTTGAATTCAGCCATTCTTCAAACTGAGTTCTTGTATTTTTTATATTTAAAGTACAATTAGTAATATTTTTGATTTAGTATTTTGAGATTTTCCAGATGTAAAGGTAATGTCTGAAACACGTCATACAGTACAGGTTGCTCAACAGTGCAAAAACAAGACTTAATATATATATATATTTGTACCTTTACTGA